AATTAAGTCTAATTATCAGCGTGATTTACGACTTAAAATATGAGAAAAGCGCATCTTTTTGATAAAAATATAATCGGTTACATTCAAATGGTCAAATTAAAATTTTACTAGGTAATAAGTTACTGTAAAAAAATATAAATAAATAAATACAAAACAGAAATTAATCTTTTCCAAATAAATAAACTATGTAATAAAATAATGCATTTATAAAACTAATAACGCATTTATTGAACTTAATTTAACTTATATTTAAATATAAAAGCCTTTAGCATTATTTTTTAAAAATTTCAATTTTTTTTTAAGAGAAGGTCTGGGTTTGTTGAAATTAGGTTAGGTTGTTACGTCGCGTTAGAGCTACACAGATAGGTTATTAGCAACTGTCTAGGATTCATTCTTAATCCTAGGATTCACGCGATTCTCCTTTCACGGCTCTCGAGACAAGCCTTTCTGACTCCAACGGCCCAAGACCACACAAACCTGATCTCAATTTGATCCTCTTGTATTATATCTGTATTACGTATACTCCTAAAGCGTGTGGACCCGGGGATGTGCTTCTTTCTCCTTTAGCTGGAGAATACTGGAGCTTATAAAGGCCATAAATTTAGTTCAGTGTAATTTAAAAAGCTCTTTTTGAAACCGAGAAGCGGGAGGAAGGAGTAACATAGGTATCACACAATTTTTACAAAAATATATTCGGATTTTTTTTTTTAACAAAAAAAACTTCAAAGTTGATATTGCTAACTTATTATAGTGTTTGCCATCTGCTGTTGCCAAAAAGATATCAATCACCTTGAATAGTTTTTGTTTTAATGACCGGATTTTCACGAACTAAGAGCCAACCTTAATGGTTCAATCAAGCGACCACAAATACGTTAATTAAATAGTACAGACAATATTTTAAATCATGTACTTTCTCTGAATAAGCTTACTTTTTTTTTTATGGATTTAGATTTTTGTCACTCAAAATGTGAGAGGTAGTCTCATGAATAATTAGAGCAAAACTTATTTTGGGTAAAGTTTTTTTTTTTTTTTTTCATACTACGGTGCTTACTGAGTCGAACTTTTCTACTCGAGTAATGTTGCACCCACAGAAATTTACAATGAAAGGATTACATGGCAGTAATTTTAATGTCAAAGTAAGTAAGTTCCAGGTAATAATAGTGCCTAAAGAAATATCAAATATACATTTACTTACGAACAAAAAAAAAACACAAAAATTACAAATGAATTTAGATTGAATCAATAAAATGAACTATTTTCAGGAAATTCTGTTTTCCGAATTTTCGGGTAGCATTATTGAACATTTTAATATTTTGTGAAGTTTTCTTTATTTTGCACCTTTTTCTCATGAACAAGGGAGTACAAGGGTACGATTTCTACCACTTATAAGCAATAAACGCTATTGATCAGATGAAATGAATAGGGCAGCAAAAGATTTAATGAACTTGACGATGAAATTTTCGTATCTAAAAAAGAGATACCTCACATCTTTTCATAGAAAAAAAAAAGATTCCGTAAATAGGTATACATCCCCATTTAGTGCAGCTTTATAAATGTTATGAGCAATAAAAATTTCATGTAAAAATAAAATATTAAATTAAACCAATTTTTGGAGCAATTTAAAAGTATAATGGATTCAATTATGTTCCTTTTACCATTTCTAGAAGAAAAAGGAGTATGTATGGTTATTTCCAGCTTGTTATTAATATTATTATTTAATTTTGAATATTATAAAAATAAAGTTGATTTAGTTAGAATGATAGAAATAGTAACTAGGGATTCAAAAAATGTGTTAAGTTTAGCAACAGAACAAAGAAGTAATTTTCAGTTATATTTAAGTTATCAGAATGATGATAATGAACAAGAAGTGTTTCAAAAGAACATATATGTTATTTTCAGTGACATGAATCAAAGGAAAAAAAATTACTTGAAAAATTACTAGATTAACATTTTATTTTAAATAAACTAATTGATTTAAAGTAAAACTTTTACACCATTATAGTATAAATTTAAACATGAAGGTTTGAACAGGGTCAAATCCAACAAAAATTATATTCGAAAAATCTCCCTTCATAACCATAATGAAAGAAAGTTTTAAAAACACATATAAATACATATTATTGCTTGTGTTTACTCTTTCTAATAAAAGCAAGCAATAAGTATGCTGGCTTTTAGTATGTTAATTGAAGTACACAAAAAATTCATCTTCTATGTGGGTCATTTTCAAGAAGAGAATTATTTAGAAAAATACTCCTTAAAAAAATAGATATTCAAATCACTATTAATAAAAATTTCAGTTGCAATTAGAATGTTTCTTTCCATAAAACTTGAAACAGCAGTGCACTTTTTAATTTGGAATATAAAATCAAACTTCTACTTGAATCTGTATTACGCTTCCCCTTTGTTACCAATGTTCAAATAAAAAAATCAGTTACCAGAAACAGTAAACAATTTACACTCTAGTTAAATTAACACAGTAAATCACTAAAATTGTTTTTGTTAAATTACAACGAATATAAAAGTAGGTAACAGAGTGGTAAAAGGTAACAGAGGTTGACAGTAAAGCTAAATTTTAAATGCTGTTACATTGCAAATTACTTAATTTTAGACATACAAATACTGTTACCTAACTTTTGCCTACGGCTGGTACTACATGTGGACCACATGCGATGGTACACTGTAAGCAATGGGTGAATATTTAATGAAATACTAAATTAAAAGTCCATATATGAACATGGTAACCGAGTGGAGTCAATTTACTTGAACAGGTTAAATAGGAAAGTGTAACTTGACTTTATCATAAGAAAATCAAGTAAAGTATAATTTTCAAACAACAAAGTTCTTACCTTGTCAAAAGCTTTAGATGACAATTATTTAAAAATAGATAATCCACTTTTGCCTACTCAACAGAACAATAATTATGGTGATAGAGTGGAAAAAATCCTGGGACAACGTTGACAGGTAAGTTGTGCTGTATATTATATTATAACACACTTTTTATTACAAGATAAAATAAATTATTTACAGCTGGTTTAATTGTAGTAGAATAAGAGACAGAGAAAACCAAATTTTGTTTTCTGGATTTTTTTTCTTTTACATATTTTTATAAACATTTTTTTTCTTCTTCTTTTCTTTAAAAATATAGAGTTCTATGTATTTGCAGATAATGTGCGATACATAAAATTTATTATTTTTTTCTGAATTTCCATGGTTTAATCTCCCTTTTTCTTTAATTCTTTTTTGTCTTTTTATTGTGTTACATATATTTATATATATAAAGATGTAACTTTAAAACTTAAGCTATTACTACACTGGTGTAAGAAATTAAAAGAATTTGCAGACTTGGTCGATTATCTCTAGAACTACTAGATCAATTTTAATGAAATTTGATATGTACATTGATACAATACAAAACAAATAACCATTCAACTATTGTAATACATGCGCATGATTGTGCCTAACACTCGTTGGAGTCAGAAGGTATGAAACAGTGGTTGCAGAATAAAAAAAAGGGTTAATAGATTATCTGATGGTGCCCCCATACAGATAATCAGGCCTTGCAGCATGATTGCATACTTGAAATAAGGTAGTTTATTATTTCCCGTGACAATTGGTCCCAATCATTCAGCAACATTGTTTTCATTCCCTGGATGGTTCTTGGAGGGGGTAGGGAGTTGCAACTGCCCTTCCCACAGCATCCCAGACATGCTCTATAGGGTTGAGGTCTGAAGATCTGGCTGTCCAATCCATGCAGCGAATATCCTCACTTTCTAGAAATTCGTTGACCAGAAGAGCTCTATGTGGCCTAGAATTAACGTTCATTAAAATGAACTAAGGGCCAACTTCACCTCTAAAAAAACGAACATAGGGCTCAAAGATCTCTTCCATATTCCTCACACCAGTCACAGAGCCTCTCTCAAAGACATGGAGAGGTGTGCGGCCATCCAACATGATACCTGCTCAAACCATTAAACTTGTTCAGACATAATGGTCGATTTTATGGACATTGGAGGGTAGGTAGCACGGTCCCTGTTTCTCTCTATATGAACGTAAGGCAAGAATCGGTGTTTAGGCTTATCAGTGAAGAGAATGGTAGCCCATTGATCCACACTCCTATCTCTATACTTTCTGCATCATGCTGAACAGACTCTCCTGTTCGTAGAAGTGAGTGGGATGCAAACAGCAGGTCTCCTTGCAAACAACCCCTTCTCATTAAGTCGTTTGGAAACAATCCCCTAGATACACGGGTTCCTGTGGCTGCATACAAGTCACAAGAGAGCTCAGCAGCTGTAGCCCTTCTGTTACACCTCACTGTAACGGATAAATCGTGATATCTCTGGTCATCGTGGCTCTTGGATGACCTTGCCCAGCCTTTCTCTCGATGGATCCGATTCCCTGGAATTGTTTCCATAAGTTACACACAACGCTGGGCATCAAATTGAACTTCCCACAAATCTGGATCAGATATTGGCTTGCTTTTAGCATCCCCACAATTCGCCAGTTCATTCCATCATTTAAACGTTGGTGGTTACTAATTTTTATTGTTACAATTTGAATACCACCTATTGCTGCAAATTAACGCCATGAAATGCGTCTTAACTTATGCGCACTTATTAAGCCTATTTCGCTACTGGCTCTGCCTACACACACGTGTATGCTTACATATTTGACGTACAAAATTTGCATTTTTGTCTGGAAGCAGTGGTTTTACATTCATTTCAGTTCTTTTCCCGAAATTTGATAAAATATGTAAATTCTCTTAATTTATCTCACCAGTGTATTTAAGACAAGGAGATGTAGTGGAAGTTGCTTAAATTGGAAGGTGAAGCCTAGATTTCAGATACTAGGCAAGGAAGAACCAAAGATTGATTGAAAAATTAACTCAGGAAGAGTTTAGTAAAGTGCTAACTACTAATTCCAAACATTTCTATAAAGATTGAGTTACAACAGAAATTTATAGAATAATTCAAGTTAATGGTAAAATGCATATAGAGATCAAATAAAAAAAAACAGAAAAACTTTATTGTAAAAATATTTACGAAGTAAAAATTATACAGTACTGCACAATATGAAAATTAATTTTATAACAACATATGTCTCTTTTAAGTACAGGTAGTACTTTAAGTACAGGAAGAAGTACAGTCAATTTTCGTCACTGAAAAAAAAATATTTTAAAGAACTAACAAAAATATAAAGCAAAAGAATAGGACTATGAAAATGAATGTGACCTGAATTACCCACATTCAAAAACATTTATAAAATTTAATACACAATTACCTTTATCATTTCATACAAAATTCTTAAATGTTTAAAACTAAAAATGAAACACTGTTAAAGTAAAGAGAGTCAAATATATATATATAAAATTTAAAATACTAAAACAATGAAATTTTGCAAATTCTTAGAGTTTATTCCTAATTTACTGAGTCTTATTTTTTAACAACATGAAAAGAGTGTTTCTTCCCTTACACACTTTGAGAGACTCTTGTTTTAAGAATAAGTAAAAAAGTAATTAAGCACAATAAAAAGTTTTACACAATTAGTGAACGGTCCCTCAGGTAAAAAATCTAACATTTAAATATATAAATCAATTCTTATCTTAATTATATTAAATGCATAAAAGGAACGTGCAAGTTTTGAGGAGATGAAGCTTTATAATTCATGAAATATGTAAATAATGAATAAGTCAAGTTTAAAGGTTATGGTATTGATCTATAAATAGAATAGCACGAGAAAGCCATTAGCTAGCCAGTGACGAAGACGATAGCACTTCACCAACGATGAAATTAACAAAAGAAATAAAATTTTCTTTTGCTATTAGAGGAAAAATTTGGCAACGTTTAGGTAGTCCCCATGATCAGCAAAAATTCCAAGGATTTTTCAGTTTAATTTCAGAAGGTGGAAAATAAAGCCAGAAATTAAAAACCACTTGCAAAAAGCCGCAGACTTGCGCATTAGAGAGCAAGAATCCTTCCCACTGAATTCAGCTCAGTTAACTAGCAAGTATTTCATTAAACATGGCAAATGATTGGCTCTTTCAGTCGCAAAAGAACAACAATACACAGAAATGGATTGTTGTTAGATAAATTGTGAAAACCTTGAATAGAAAAATGTGAAAATCGACATAGTAAAGAAAAAATTTCTCATTTTGGAAAAATAAAGTACTGTTTAAAAACAACCAGTAAAAAAAATACCTTTAAAGGGCTTTTAAAAAAACAAAAATTGAAAATAAGCACTTTTTAAAAACTCTACGCACCCCGTGAAGATCAACAGCTTTGTAGAATTGTTATCCTCTTATCAAAAAAAGTAACCAAGATATCTTATTCACTTTGAATTGATAACTTTTACTAGGCCTGGTTATTTACATCGATTATAAAAAATGATTATAAACTAAGATCATGACTGATCAGCAATCGAACAAAAATCATTCGGGATAAAACACTAATCCAAAGAGTAGTCCTTTAGCAGCAAAAGCTGGCATTGAATAAACATATTCAAAACAGGCTTAGGCTACTTTGGAAGAAAAATACTACACAAAATTTTGTTGCTGTCCAAGAAAATAAAATAACATTTGGCAAGTGCATTGTTCAATCGATATGTCGTGCATATAGTGTTCAGGAAGGGTATACCACACAAGAATTCCCATTTATGATTGCATAGTAATCCGAAGCTTACAAGTTTATCTTCAGTAGTAAAAAATTTGATTTTTGCGCAACAAATTGTTCAACTATCAATATGTTCAGTATATTTTAAACAGTCATTTTTGGGCATTATCCAGAAGACTTGTGAAATCGCAATCCCGTTCCTTTGTTCCATTAGATGCTAACTAATGTCGACCCAGTCCTTAGGTTGTGTATAAGTAGGATCTTGAAAGCAAGACAAACCACCGCAAAGAAAAGGACTGTTGGAAATTTCGTAATACTAATGATAAACTTTCAACCTCTGGATTACTTAGAAATCATTAATTAGAATTCTTGTGTAGCATATTTTTCCAAAATATTGCACGACTTAAGTGAAAATGATATTGAATAACACATTAATTCAGACACTACAAATGGTAGAGAAATACCAAAATGTCTCCATCACTCCCAGGCTATGGGAAGGTATGTCACGCTTGTGTCAGAAGCTTCGAATAAACTAGGTGAATATATAACTAGAGATGGGTAAATCTGAGCAACACTTAAGTCTAGATCAGTTATGCCACATTCCTCAACAAAAAAAATTAATAATAATAAGTCATGCTTCAGATGTGTAGTAGGTATAAAAACTTCAACATTGTGATAACCAAAGACTCCTACTGGATGGAAAATCTATGTAACTAGCAGTAAACCCAATGTAAATGCACCAGCAAAAAATTGGATGTTGGTTGTGTAGATTGTAAATGAAACTTGCAGTGCAATTCAATTATCTTCAAATGGTGAATTTTGAGTTGCTTTGATCTAGTATAACGATAGAAGATATATACAGTGGAACTTATGGAAAATTGATAAGTTTTTGTCTTTTTCTAAAGTGCTGCCAGAATGTGAAAAATTGAATTATTGATTAGAATTTAGGTTGCTTAAACTAACAAGCAAGCAAAAAGAATTAAATCATGTTTATTTAAAAAGTTTAAGTCAGCTTATAAATTTTTTAAAACGGCATGATTATTTCAAGTTTTCATTACTTTTAAATATGGTGTGCAAATATTAATCAATTTTAAACTTTCTAATGCAGTTTTCTTTTATTACAATAGAAAACTTATCCACACCATAAATCCATAAATTAATTTTTTTGTACCACTCAGCCTTATGACCTGCCCAGGCACTCTTTTCAAAAGTTTGGGTGGGAGGGATGGTAAACACAAGTGTGAGTATGAAAAGTATATGCTACTTAAAACATGTCTAGAATGAACTATTATTTATTTATTGTCTACATATGGTTCTTAACTCATAGATATTACTCTACTAATAATTTGGAGGTAAAATGAGGAAATAATTATTTAAATTCAATTGAAGTAACTTTATCATTCTACACTAAAACATAATCTATTAATAATTAATCTTTTCATTTCAATTATTAGGATCTTTTCTCATTATTTTAATTATTAAAATTAGTTTTATTAATTGTTAATAAATATAAAAAATGCTAATGTTAATATTATAAATGATATTATAAATGCTAATTATAAATTGTTAAAATTAGTCAAATGAATTTTTTTTTAAAAAAAACTATAATTTAATAGATGAAACAACATATCAACTGCTTGAACAATTTAAGTTTGTAAGAGTTGTAAGCAACAAAATAAAACAATATAAGCTTGTAAATGTTTTTTAAAATTTACATATGATGGCTATAGGGATTTTGATTTATATATTTTAACCTAATGATTGAAACTAGGACTCTATCCTAATGGTTCAAAGGAGTGACCGCCAATGTGTTAATTAAATAGTGCAGACGAAAACAAGATCAGGCATAAAAAAGTACTTTCTCTGTATCCATACCTTTCTTTCAATGAATTTGGATTTCTGATTCTCAAAAATGAGGGGTATTCACAAGCTGGGAAACAGGAACCCAATCCCTTGGTCAGAAAAGTGCTTGAAAGATTCCTTAATGTTAATTTTACCTTTTTCGGATTTCGCCATATTTTGAAAACATTTCAACAGAATTGGAAACTTTTTGCACACAAAAAAATAGCAAGATTTCTTTTGCATTGTAAGGTATGAAAATTTTTACATGATATAATATAAACTAACAAAATACCAAATTTGAATGAAATTGATCAAATGTTAATGAGAAATCGAATTTTAAATGTACAGTTTAACGGATTTTGCTCAAATTTTGTATTTTGCCACATAAAATTATTCATTAAAATTATGTAAAAACTGGCTTACCTTACAAATCCAATTTTTTTGGCTATTAAAATAAAATAAAAAATAATAAATTATTAAAAATTATATTTTAGATGGAATTATCCTTGAATAAACAAATTGTATATTGGGAATTTAAAAAAAATTAATTTGCTCAAAAAATTCTCGAGAGGCAAAACGTATAAATAACATTAAGTGATTTAAACTTTCTGTCGCTGTCCTGACCATACTATTGGGACAATATTTTCCAGATTGTTGTAACCCTCCAATATTTTGAGAGTTTGAAATCTAAATTAGTTGAAAACAAATTAGAAAATTAAAATCTAAATCCCTTGAAAAAAAATTTGAAATCTAAATCCATTGAAAAAAATTCGGAGAAAGTGTGCTTTTGTGTTTGATTTTATAACATAAAATATAATTTGCACAAATGAATTAGCATACTTGAGGTAACCCCTTTGAACCATTAAGTTCAAGTACATGAAAACCTGATCATTAAGTTATTCAGGGTGTCCCTTTATTGAGCACTGTACATGAAATTTGGTTAACGCAAGCTACTAAAAAAAAAAAAAAACACACACACACACACACTTTACACATCAAAACTGTTTAATAAAATTGAGCAAAATACCCTTTTTTGATAAATTTACCTTTTCTAATCAATTCCAGAAGGCTGGCAAACAATAGTATGAAGTTCTTTTGATGATTTAAACAGAGGATGAGAGCACAAAAGTGAAGTATGAACAGTAATGACATAATTACAAGTTTCAGGTTCAGTGATCCAGTTTATATAATCTAAAGAATCTTCTTCACAAAATATCTAAAAAAATGAGAATTTATAATATTATCTCATAATTTTACTTTGACATTAAAAGAATACAAAGCAAAAGTGATAATATACACACAAATTTTAGAGTCTAACAAGATATTATTTTCTGTATACAATTGAGAAAATTTTTTAAATCAAAAATAAAGTTGAGAAATTTAGTTTCAAAGGACCATATCTTATAAATTTAATGGTAAAGTTAGTTCCTATAATTTTTAGTTAACTGCTAAAGAAAGCAAGAAAATTATTCCAAAACACAATTAACCACCATCAGAACTAAAAATAATTTTCTTTTAATTTACCATAAATATTTAGTTTTTTTTAACTCCTGGTGTCACTTTGTCAGGGCCCATAAATTTCTGAGCCCATAAATGTGTGTTATGTTGGTTGAATATATAATTTTGAGTGATGCATGCCTCTTTCATAAACAAAACATAAAAGGAGAAAACAGCAGCATATATAACATATTAGTGACATTGATACCACTGTGTTTTAACATTCTGCATGTCATTAGATGCTTTTGGCATAATGTTGTGAATCATTTGAAAGAAGAGGTTTTGTCCAACCAGAATCTATGTTTTTTTATTGTTTAAGTTAAATTATGTTAATTTTCAGATCAGTAAAATATTGAAATGCTAAGTTGAGAAAAATTAGCATTTTTCAGCACCTTTATTTTGCTCTTAACCAAGCATACTCGCTAACACCGGAGAAATAAAATAACAGAGATTTTATTAGTGACATGTTTTAGGCTATGAGTAAAGTTTTAATGCATCACGCATAATCATGTAAGTCAAAGAGAAATTCAAAATTGAAAATAATATAAATACTTACATTTAGCAAAGTAAAAAATATGTATATAAATCTTAATCTAAAGAAGATTTTTTAATGCATTATTTATAATTACTTATACTATAACTCAATATACTGCAGTAATTTCATTTTTTCTTAAAAGTTTAAAAGGTGGAAAAAATGTTACGCAGACATTACCAAATTTGAGGTATGAAACATAATTATTGACTAAAAATTGATAGGTGAAGATTTATAAAGATGTCGAACATGTTGTAAAACTTTATGGACACTAAAAAAGCAGCTTAATCAAATCTTTAGTATACATAAATTTAAAAATTTTTGAGAACTTTTAAAATTTTTGCAGTTTAAAATGATTATCTAAGTGTAAAAAAGAAACATCACAATTAAAAGTATCGGGTTCACTAATACACTGGGATATTTGGTAATTTCAAAGCATATCTTTTTAAAATCATGAAATTGCTATAAAATTTAAACAAATTTGGTAGCTAGATTAAAAACCTCATGTAACATTGCATGGATTTTCTTATACAACATAGAAATAGTCAAATAGTACAATACATATTTATGTAAAATGCATTACTTTAACTTCAGTATTGCGAGGTAGCCCAGTTAAATCACATTTTGTTCCATTAACATAAGATTGTGCATGATGTGGCTTTACACGTTCAAATTTCTCCTATAAATAAAAGGAGGATAGAAGCAAAAACACTTTTAAACTATCATATGCACTGGAGACTATGAATTGTAAATAGATACCTCATACAATTCATCTTCCCATTTATTATCTAATTCATACAGTCCTAAGGTAAGAATTTCACCAGCAATCCTTCCATCTAATACAATAGAAAAATTTAAAAAAAAAAGTTAGATACAAAAGCAAGAGTTCTTGAATGAAAAAAAAAAGATAATAATAATTGTCAACATAAAAACAACTGAAACTATGCTAATATTTTTCCAATAAAAGCATAAAAAAAAACATTTCTTTCAAAAGTGTAAAAATAGCCACATACGATGCAGCTAATACACTCTGACGAGGGGAAAACTTAAAAGGTTCTTATGCTCGTAACCAATGACAACTTTATATAAACTAGAATCTATACTGACACTTATGATGATTTCAATATATTTTTAATGAGGAATATGAGGCAAAGAAAAACACGCAACATAACTTCAAAAAAGCAATTTATAAACTTAATATGATAATGGAAGAAAGACAAATAAGACAATCACAGTAGCACATAAATACAAAAGCGATGGAAAGAACATAGCAAAATAAGTTACAAGAATTTATAAAAATGCAATGCAAATTCTAAGCTATGACATTATATGATGTGCTATGACATTGCATATGACAACTCTGCAGTATTACCATTCTATATTAATTTTATGCTTTGAATTAATATTGTCAAAAATTGCATTTAAATAGGCACAGAAATAGCTGTTTTAAAGTAATTTAAAATTTGGCAAGTTATACTAATTTGTTGCCAAATCATCAGGTATTGATAAAATATCTATTTCTATGCCTTCTTGTATATATTTTTCAACAATAATCATTATAAAACATAAAATTAATATAATTTAGGTAAAAAAGAAACACTAGCAAACAAGCAGCCAGTCCATAAAAAGAAAGCCCACATAGCAGTGTACGACGACACCTCCCATCACGAGTTGCTGTGCAATTCTCAATCCTAATAATAAACAGCGAGCAAAAAAATAAACGGACCACACTGGATAACTTCTAATCTAATGATTCGATGTTCCCAATTTAGGTCTCAATCTTAATTATTTGAGGGGGTAACCTGAAATATGTTAATTAATTAGTGCAGATGATATTTAAAGTTATGAAATCAAACACAAAAATGTTCTCTGAATGAACACACCTCTTTTTCAACGGATTTGGATTTCTGACTCCAAAATATAGAGGGTAGCTGCATCCTGAGAAATATGGTCCCAATAGTTTGATCAGGAAAGTGGCGTATTTCATCATATCTATAGAACTATTTAAGTTATGTAGAAAAAATTTGTACACAATTATAAAATTTGCTTATCCAAAGATAAATTTTTTTTAGCATTATGTTAAAGAATTTAATTTTAACTGGCAAAATGAAAATTTTAGGCAAAATCATTTGAATAGTTCCTGGGAAATTCTGCTGCATATTAAAATTTCGATTTCTCAGAAACTGTTTGACCAATTGTACTCAAATTTTGTATTTTGTGATGCAAAATTACGTTCTTTTGGATAATGTAAAAAATTCCATACTCCAGAATCTAATTTTTTTCGACTATTATCAAATAAAAATACAAATAAATACTTACTAAAGGTTATATTGTGCATGGAATTATCTTTGGATAAATGAATTTTATAATTACTTATAAAAATTTTCAATTTGCTTAAAAAGTTCTATAGATCTCTCCCTCCACAAAAAGTAAAATTAAGTAACACAGTGGTATCAATGCCACCAATGTGCCTATGTTGCTGTTTTCTCCTTTTATGATTTGCTTATGAAAGAGGGCATCCCTCAAAATTATGTATTCAACCAAAAAGTAAAAGAAACCACACTTTCCAGATATTGAGAGTAAAAAATCTGAATCCCTTCACAAAAAAAAGATATTTTTATTTGTGGGGAGAGTAGTTATTGATGAAGTCAACCTTCATCTATCAAAGGGTACCTCAAGATAGAATAAAGTTAATATGTCTTATATACAAGTGAATTGGTATTTAATAATTTCAGTGGTAGTTACACCACATTACTCCCTCACCAGAATTTTATCTGAGATAGAATTTGATGAACAAATACCACTCACTAATTGATTAATGCTGTTTTTTTTTTCCTTTTGCTTATCCTATTTTATATTTTTTCTTTGTTTTTTTATTATTTTCTTTTTTATTTCTTTTCCATTCTTTCTTTCTTTTTTTTTTTTGTAAGTGGTCATGAGAATTTTATTACCTTTATCTATCAAAAGGTATTTCAAGATAAAATCAAGTTAACATGTCTTATATACTAGTGAATTGATATTTCATAATTTTAGTGGCTGTTACGCCACATATTCAGAGAAAGTATGGTTTCGTGCTTGATTTTGTAACTTAATGTATCTTTTTAACTATTTAATTAACCTATTTGAGGTCACTTCCTTGAACCATTGAGTCTCAGATTGTGAAGATCCGACCATTAGATCATAAGTTATTTAGATTGGTCCCTTTATTTTTTTGTGCACTGTATCTCTCCTTAAAATTAGGTCAAGGAATTTAGGGACAGCTTATACACACACACACAAATATATATATAGTTAAACCTCGGTTAAGCGGTAATTCTTGGGTCCGAAAAACATGTTTGTTTATGAGAGTTGTCCATTTATGGGAAGGGTATCCTAATAACAAAGTTTAACACCGCAAATTGTTTTTAGATTATTTTAAAAGTTATAGAAATAGTTAAATAATCTACAATAACAATCTACAAGGATATTTATTTAAACTTAAAAAACTATTTTTTTGATAAAAAAGAAAGAAAAAAAAGTTTGATATAAATACAAAATTCTAGATGTAGCTACAGATATATGAATATAATTTTCCTTCAGTTATTGNCCCTTACACCTACCTATCACTCGATAGGAAATGTGGTTAATATCTCATTGAAAGTAAACCATGAGGATCTATGGAGTTGATTATTCACAACTGATCATCTGTCAAGTGTCTGAATAAATGTTTCATTTATATGAACACAACGAAGATTATACTTCTGTTTTCTTTTTTACCCCAGCTGTGTTAAATACAGTTTTCAAATTGATAAGAAAATGAAAGAAATTTTCAGTTGGAAAGAAGCATTGAGAGCATTTAAAAGACGTCATTTCAACTTGAGGGGCCTCATTACCTGTATCAAGATGAAAAGATGTCACTGTCCAAATTATTTCACAAGAGCAGTATCATTTTCTCTCCTTTCTTTGCAAAGATAAGGCAAGGTGTCAGGAGAAAAATTGATTCTTTAGTACTGAAATAGCTTAACAATATTTTTAGTTATGGATAAGGCAAAATATTTACATACTTTAAAAACGATGAAAAAATGCACTTTTTTTCTTGCAATTTAAAGCAGACATATTTCTTTTTTACAAATGTAAAGAAAAAGTAGTGCCTGGTTTGAAGAGATAGAAAATAACGTTTCAGGGCAAAAATTACTTTCGCGTCCAGTGACGTGTCCGCTTTGTGGACAATGTACTAAGGGCTTATCCATAGAAGATTACCAGAGAATTAAAAATATGTTCTTATTGAGAGGCGTCCGTTTTGCAGAAGTGTCCATAACAAGAGGTTTCACTGTATATATATAATTTACATATTTGCTACTTACATAAAAAAAAGAAGAGATATTTCTATCTATATTCTATAATAATGAATAAATATCATGATAGGTAAAACTTTCATAAATGTATCTAATGAATGAATAAATTTTACACATATTTTCATTTCCAATACATGACACATATTTGTATTGAATTTATGTTAGGTATTATAAAAGAAATATGTCAATGTAAAATACCTCATGTACCTTCAATATGAAACTGCTTTATGGCCTTTCCAAAGCATAGCTCATAAGTCCACCAATCTTTAATCTAAAATCAAGTAAATTTCTCCACATTAAGAATAATTAAAAATTTAGAATAATTAGAAATTTAAATATATTTTTTAAAGGATTTGGCCACTGAGCAGGACCAACTTTTTGAGAAACATTTTAGTAGTCAAGTAAACAAGCAACTTTTCAAAAATTGAAGAGATAGTTTTCTGTAATAGTATTAAAATGCAAAATTTAACCTTTAATTCTAAAAGTTATAATTAGTAAAATAATAATGAAGCTTTATAAATTTAAATAAATCAAGACTAATAGTTGTAGCGTATAAAACTATGACAAAGGTTAAAAAAAAATTATTGTGGCATAAATAAATGAGTTCATCCAATATAGAAAAAAAAAAGTATCTTTTTTAAATCATAAAAGAAGCAAAAAGTTAAAAACAAGTATTCAAAAATGAAATAATGCTAGGAAAAGAGGAAACATTAAAAAACATGAATGTGAACTTACATAGTAAAGTTTTCTGGTTTCATAGAACTTAGAAAAATTTGAGTATATCAGTAAAATGCATGAAAAAAAGGCATAACAAAAACAAATAAACGCAAACTGCTTGATGTACAAATTTATCCTCATTCACTATATTGTTTTGACACTGACATACTTAGTTTCTAAATTTCCTTACTTAGGCTGCATTGTAATAACTGTTCAAAATATTAACATCAAGTCAAAAAAAGTATATATTTTTATATGTAATTTAACCAAATATATATATTTTTTCAACTTATTATATAATATACTAAGTATCCACTATTGAAGTATCTATGCATCACATTTAAACATATTGCCTTTATTCTAAAGGCAAATGTCATTCTATTTAATGTTTCATTTTTATGCATATTTTATTTCTATGAAAGTTCTTAATACATTGAGAAGCAAGTTGGGTATCCATGGAAAAATTTGAGGATATCCAATTTCATTAATTTACAAAAAATGGCTTAATGAAAAATTCAGTTGAAACATATATTCTCTTTTTAAATAAATGGAAGATATATGTCATATGCAATTTTCCAAAGTGTATGTAAATAAAATCATCAAAAAATTTTAGCAAATTTAATCAATTAAAAAAATGAAAAAAGGTCAAGAGGAATCATTTTAAAAGTACAGTGTAATGTTTAGTGCAAAAGAAACATCTTCATAAGAATATGCCTTGAAATCAGACAGTTTGGAAATTACCTAATTCTTTTAAAATCATTCTAATAAAAGTATAGATTTTACATACTTGAATGACAACCTTTTTCCATTTTATTATTTTATTTATTTAAACAAGGTATTTTACACATTCAAAAATGTTTTTAAAATCTTTCTTCACTACTAGACAGAAAATTGCAAGACTTTTTCATTAAGTATTTAGCCATTTTAAAAATATTTTGATACAAATTTTTCCTGAGTTATTAAATTACAAATTTTTTTAAGTATTTTGTGAGTGAATTTTTAACTTTCAATCAAAATTTCCTCTTTCTTAGTGGCAGTTATTTTTTCTTCATATTATGCTAATACATTATATATATATTTATAATTAGTTTTCAATTTCACACTGAATTTTTTTCCTTCAAAGTATACACATTCATTAAATCTTAGTGACAATTTTAGAAGATAAAAATAAAAATAAATATTTAAGTGATTAATCAAGATTTCTTATAAATTTTTCAGTAAATGGAACAGTTTTTTTGGTAACTACCAAACCTGAACTCTTAAATTAAAACTGATTGACTACACTGGCAATATTATGATTGATTGTGTAATATTGTGCAAACGGAGAAATAATTGTAAAACCAATGAAAAATTGCTGCTCGGATTAAAAGTATACTGCAGAAGAAAAACACCATATGAGAGACAAGGAAGAATAACATTCCAAAATAAGAGGACTCTGAAAGGTACAAAAAACTGCATAATAAATAATGGAAAAAAATAATCTAGAATAAAAGTATTTAAAAATATCTCAACCGTACAGAATCTTTTAATGGTTGTTTTAAGGTGACGGTTATCCAAAATTTTTTCATGAAACCAGACAAATACTACTACTGCAATGTTTTCGTTTGCAAATGATACTTCTGACAACATACTCTATGTCAGTAGAATGTTGTTGTAGGCCATTTAGACAATGGGAGTGTCATTGTTCTTGCCTGATAGTGGTGCCATCTATGGCCAAGAATTCGACCTCTAGCACACCTGTTTATAGGGCGGACTCATATATACATGCATTCATTCATCCATTAATCATAATTTGGACTTAAACCAGAGAACGAACAATCTCCGATCCAGTACTCCCAGAGCTAGATTTTACTGTGGGAACATGGAGGACTTTCGGACCTGACAGATTTAACGTGCACCAGTCACCATTTATTACGACCAGCTGGATTTGAACTTTCACTATCCCGGCCTATTTCAATAGAATGACGATCACTAATAAAATCCTGGTCTTTCAAAATCAGTCACTTTTGAAAATTAAATCTGAAAAAATCATTGCAATATTAAAACCATCCTTTAATAAAATCTTTATAGCTGCATGCAATTAAGCTTTTGGAGAGAATATGCTTTAAAAATGAAAAATGTCATGTTTTTTATGTTGGATTATTTAGAAATTTCTTTCTAAGTTTTAAAAGATGTGCATCGTCTGACACATAGAAAACAAATTTCAGTAAAGTAAAGGATCTATGCTACAAGTATGGATTACACTTCTAGGTGAAATTGAAGGGTTATTAGCTAAAAAAGAATGAAACAGAATGCGATAGCAAAAGAGTTCAAATGAAAACTGCTTATGAAGTAAGGGAATTTATTGAAAGTCCATCATCATTCAATAATAATGATTCCCAGGCTAACTCTCACAGTTAAAAAAGAATTAAGCTGCCACAGCAGGGTTGAAAAAAAGAATTCAAAAGTAAATAAACTAAAGAATATGCTGAATGCCGTGTATATTCAATGAGATCAGTGACTATGATTGAATAAACCATACATAATCTGTTAATCATTATATCACATAAGAGTTAGTAGTGGTTAGTTAGTATTATATGCAAAAACAATTTAAAATTAGTTAGTGGTCATATAATATTATAAGTAAAAAATAAAGACTGAGTTTACATTCATTTTAACTTAATTTGTTAGTTAAGCATGTCTAAATGGCAAGATTTGAGTGCCAAGGATAAATTCACAATGCATTTAAATTTATTTTTTGCTCTAGATGTAATATTGAAGGTTAAAAAAAAATTTTACAAATGACATAAAGTTTTAATTTAAGATCCTGCTAATCAAACAATATGCTAATATTTTAAGAGCCTGCTGTAAATTAAAATGTAGCTTCTGTTTAAACAAAATAAATGTATATTGAACATTTAAATTAAAAAGCAAATATAGCAATTATTTTAGCTACTTCTGTATACTACTTCTCCAAGTATAGATAGACCAATTTATAAAATCAGTCAATCAATTTTATCAAATCATATGTTCACAGGAAAAATGCTATTTTAATAAGCAACAAAAGGAATAAAAAAATTTTGTTGAACAAAAATTTTCACAGAGGATGATAAGATAGCAACTTCATTTTCTATTTAGTTATAGTTCCGCAGTGAACTAATCGTTAAGACACGGTTCCTAGCAGATCACCGAAGCCAAGCATCACTGGCTGCGGTCAGTGTGTGGGTGGATGACCACTTAGATTAGTCTGCGTAGGGACCGAGGGTGTGCGGTATGGGTCCTCGTTAAACTGTTCTACCGTAAAGTGCTCAATTTCATGTGAAGGTTGTTGGGCTACCGAAACAGGGGTGCCATCCCCTCTGCAGAGGATCAAAATTGTGATGACACGGCTTCGGATCATCCTCAGGGATGTTTACCAGACCGTCACCAATAGTCCATTGTGCATCTCTAGCGCGACGTAAATGAAACTACAACTACTTAGTTATAAATGATTTTTATATTTTCAATTCAGTCTTCAATATCTCACAATAAAAAAAATATATTAAATTTAAAATATAAAGTTCATGAAAAATTTGGCATTTGAACTTAAATTCCTCTAATTGTAGGTAACTAAAGTAAGATGTGCATAACGCTTCATTTCAAAAATGATTAAAATTCTTTATTTTTTAGCAAAGGGAATTCAAATAATAAAAGATAATATTTTAGGATAAAATCTGAAATTCACAGCCTAGAAATTGAAAGCTTTTTGTTCTTACATACAAAGTAGGAATTAAAAAATAAAAACTTAATATTTCCAAGATTAAAGCACAACTGCATCAGAATTACTTGAACAGTACGCAAGAGAAAGTTTAACATGAGCTTTGACTAAATAAACAAATTTTATGAAAGAGAAAAGAGAAACAGATTTATTTCTTCAAATATGCCAAAGAAATATAAATTTAATATTTAATTATATATAATTTTAAATTTTATAAATCTTAATCATTTCATCATAATGAGGGTCTATACAAATATATAAAACACATTATAAGATTCAAACACATTTTACACAAACAATGAAGTGAATAATTCGAAAATAAACTTAACAAAACTAAGAATATGCATTACTACCAATAGCTTAAATAATCTTTTAATGAACTTTTAATTAAAATTTCATAACTTACTTTGTATAAACAACTTCCTTCATACATGGGTTCAAGAAGTTTCTGAATATCAATACTTTTTCCATTTTTACTGTCACTTTCTGATAAACTTTCATTAGGCTTTGGAATATAGCATTCATACTCTTTACCAGATTTGGAAGTCATAGGCACTAAAGAAAAATGTTGTTCCTAAAATATAGAGACAGAAAAAGATACATAAAATTATACTAATTGTGAAGTAGAAAAAAAATTACTTCACAATTGTCAATATACTATACAAGTTAAAGATGCAACAATTTGTATGGAAATTAAGGATTTTATACTAATTAATAATAATCAGTCAGCACAATTTATTTTAGAAAAAAAATTCTATTATAAATTGCTATTAGTATAGTTTAAAAGCAATACAATAAAGATAATTTTTTCTAGGTAAAATTCTAATGTATGGTGAACTTAGAATGTAACAAAATACAATAATTTAATATTTTTTTTACATTGTATGCTATATAAACACTATTTTAGGCTATATAAAGTAGCTTATATAAATGCTATTGTAGCTTTATTGTATGCTTTAGTAGGTTATATAAATGCTATTATTTATATATGCTATACGCTATTTTAGGTAGATAAAAAGAAAAGCAAAAAACTTTCTGCATGCATTGATTAACTCTTGTAACCAGTTTCACCCCATTCATAGCCACCTCATTTTGGCAAATTTGTTTGAAAATCAGAATTTTTTTTTTAATGTAAAATTTTTATAGAACTCAATATTTATTCACTCCACAAAGATGTTTGATAAAAAAGCAAAAAAAGATTAAAATAAAAATACAAACATGTTATGTGCAAAAACACTATTTAAATAATTTAAAAATTACCTGAAATTTAAGTAAGAAAAAAGCGTATGTAGGTAACATTTATCCACAGAATGTTAGCAAAGTTTTAATAAAAATATTGATGCAAGATTTTATTTAAATTGTGTGAATTTCAATGTGTGATTTTAAAAGTCCTGCAATTAGGAATCTCGACATTTAATTTTAAAATTGTGTACATACTAATCTCAATGTTTAATCTTAAAATCAATATAAATTTTGACATTTGATTTTAAAATAGGGCATGAACATATACCTCAACTGCTTGATTTTAAACTCATATGAATCTAAAGTTGGATATTTTATTTTAAAATTGAGTGAATACAAATTTTGAAAAATTATTTTTAAATCACTTGAACACAAATCATAATAGTGGCTTTTTTATCTCGTGAATAAGAAACACGATACTTGATATAAAATCATGAAAATACGAAAGATGACACATGATCTTAAATTGCACAAATAGGAATCGCGATATGTGATTTTAAATCACGGAATGTAATTTTAAATCCAAATGGATTAGTAGGAAAAGCATAAAAACAAATATTTTTTTCTTTCAAATTACAAACTTTCTTTGAAGAGGCAGATTATTACTTTCTTTTTTAATTATTTCTTTAAAAAATTGAATGAATTAATGAAGCATGAATCAACTAAATTTTTCAAAATATAAAAAAAGCAAGAAGTTATATTCAGGTTAACATGAATTCCGGCTACTAAGGCAATTTTGAGATTTTTTCTCTTTTTTTTTTTTTTTAAGCCCGGGACTAGAAACACAATTAGAATGTCTTACTTTGAGTGTGTCTAATGCTTGATTCTAGCACAATGCCATTTGTTACAGCTCTTTTGAAATTAAATACTATATAAAACTCAATCTAATTCATAAAAAATACAGAGCAATTAGAAACTCTGAAGCTAATGAGAGAAATGAAGAAAATGAATTTAGAGGTTAATAAGTTTAAATTTGGCTATTAAAATAATTGCAATACTTTAGTGTTAATGAAAATATTCAGCACTGAATGGAAGAGAATCATAAACATCACTCAAGATTTGTGGGTTTATTAGAATATATGTGTTCATATTGAACAATACATAAAATATTTATATGGGAACATTTGAACCCACATTTAATGGAAAATTGCACAAAGTTGAATAAAAGTTTTACATTAATTACATATCTTACATTGAACACTTCTTTTAATTTTCAATAACGATTTTTAAATATAGGGAAAGATTTCACATATTTTGCTAATATATCAGTGTTTTCACTACAGCGCGAGAATCTCGCATATTTTTTTCTTTTCTCGCATTAAAAAATTATTACTGCGAGAAATTCGTGCATTCTATAAATCAATTTCAAAATTTGCAAATTTCTCGCATTTTGGAAGAAGCTTCGAATTACGCTATTTAGAAAAAAATCCTTTAACCGAACCTCGGAACCCCTTTCAGAACACATTTCTCTGCAACCACATGTTTACCATAGGTAAAGTTTTTTCATGTAAGGCGGTAAAGTTTTTTCATGTAAGACGGTAAAGTTTTTTCATGTAAGACGGTCAAATTTTTTATGCACTAATGTAAGAGGGACAAATACCTAGTAAAGGCAAAATCTTCTATGATGATGCAGCAAGAATATTCAATGCTTTAAAAAATAGAAGACGTTAAAAATGTATTATAATAAAAGAAACATTTTTTTTCCAAGTCTATTTGTGTTTTTTAAGTTTTTGGAAATCTCACTTAACTTTCTGAAATCNTATATATATAGAATAATAAATAAACAAAAAAAATATTCATCAACAAATACGTTTTCGGAAAGAAAAATGTAAAGTAAGCGAGTAAAAGCCACATTTTTTCATTTTTAATAAATACACTTATGCTTACTCCCATATTTTTCAGAGGATATTTCAACACGTTAACCTCATATTGAATTGCGTTCAGTTCTTCAATTGTGAAAGCTAAACATTTTAAATTGAATATCCCTACTATAAAAGAAAACAACAAGCAAACAGAAATCATATTGAAATTCTCAAATATAATAAACCAGATATAAATACTAGCAGAAAAAACTTTGCCGAATCATGTTGATTGATTTCAAACAAAAATAAAAACTGTCCTTATGGTAAAAAAATCTTAAGGTAAACAAAACAGAGCAGCTTAGTGATGCCACAAAACAAAAATTATCCGCAATAACTATGCCAAATGATACACTCATTATGTATCCCTTTTTTGCACAAAATTGGGCAATCGCAACGATCGAATACGCCATCTGGGGAGAAGACTGGATCCATGCCTTTGGCCCTTCCCTCTCCTCCTCTTTTCATTTGTATAGGAATGTACTATGATATTTCTCCTTTTCTTAATATTTTTCGTATTTAATTATCAAAAATATTTTTTTAAATTTCCATGATGTTTTCTTTTAGAACTATGTTTAATGTAGTTTTCATTTCCATATAGTTTCCTAACATAAGATTTTAATCTGTTTGAAAATCATGACTAAAAACACACTTCCTCCTTCTATGACTCTCCACACGCTAATGGTGAAAACATGCGAAGTATTGCTGCGAAGTACTGCTCTACACAACATGTAGCCCATTTCGATCGCCGATATTAAAGATATGTAAGCTGCTTCGATTGGAAGACACCTGTCTTTTTTTCAGCTCCATCAATTCCTCTATTAATTTCAATGCGCAGCTGTACAATTAAGCCCAGCTTTTGAAGCCAATTAGTTCCTCGTAGTTTGGTACATATAATAGCCGATAAGCTAATCTGTCAATTTCATGACTAACAGAGTGGGGTTTCGAATCCCAGAGTTCACACCACAATATTTCCTCCTTTCCCTTCAACACATGAAGAGTTTCCAGTCTCTAGCACTCCCCAATTTGGGACCATGGATTATTAAAATTCTATACTTCCACATCCACGCATAGATAGCAGTACCATTAAGAGGCTACACACAAAAACGCCAAGTATTTTCCATTTTTTAGAATAGATGAATGAACCAGATAAACTTATTAAACCACATTCCACGGTTCATTTGTTAAAACACATTTCAACCAGAACCATTATATTATTAATACTAGTTAATGCCCATTACCTAACAAAAAACCTAGTTCCAATATATCATGCTAGTTGTAAGCGGTTTCAAAACAGTAAAGACAAAAAAAATATGTTCTTTACCACAAAACTTTACGGTAAATTGGGGCGACAGACTGCTGCCAGTTATTTACAATATTTTTAGAATAAAAATTCTAACACTATACAATTCTCAATTAGAATATATTCTCTCATTTTCAATAATTTTCTATTAGTCTAGTCGCAAAATTTTGTACAAATAAGCAGATGGTTATAAATGCGAAAACATGTAAGTTTTTCACATAGACTTGAAAAAGCTGCCAAAAGTTGTCTTTAATAATAGTTAATCAACAGAATTTTACCGGTATCGTTAGTACATTTGTGGGGGAGGGGGGCTACTAGCGTGCGACTTAATTTAATGTTGTTCAAAACAATGTTTATAACTAATTTTATTGGATGTATTTTGGTGATAAGAGATAATGCATTAAAATTAAAATAGGTTTTCCTTTACAAAATTAATGAAAGCTGAAAAACATTTAAGCATTTCAAAGATGAAGAATTTAAAGAATTAAAAGTTGTTGCAGTCAGTTTCATTAATATTTGTTAGCCATAGAAAAGCCTCGAACTTCAGAGAACATGAAATATGATTTATTTGTTTTTAATATAGTCATATGCATAATCAGTAAGAAACTGGCAATACAATTGACTAAAGAATTTAATTTCACACTAAAGTCATAACATTTAGGAAAGGAAAATAGAAATTTGTGACAGTCAAGATATTTACAGAGTATTTTCAAATTTTGAACATTAACTCACCGAAGCAATTGTTAGCAGCAATAAGGACACTATGAAAAAAAGTTTTTTTTAAAGTTCTTTTTTAATGTATATTGTCTCAGATGCCGAATGGCTCTTCGGTGTATATTCCTGGGCATTAAAGCTTCAGTGAAAGAACCGTTATCGTGTTCTGTTGCTGATATGGTGTATGGTAGACCTTTAACTTTGCCTGGAGGATTTTTCTTAGAACTCTGAAAGTTTAGTTACTAATGATTTTCTTGTGGCATGTCAACGTAGAGTTAAGCGACCTACTAGTACCTCACAGCATTTCAGGAAAAACATTTTTGTGTATAAAAAATTTATTAATTGTATGTTTTTCTTCGACAGGACAGAATAAAGAGGTCTCTTGTTCCTCCATACAGTGTACCATACTTTGTTTTATCTAGGTCGCCAAAGCACTTCACAATTTAAGTTGCCAGCTTTTTCAACAGTGCTAAAAATAACACCACGGCAGATTTCAATTTAATTCTGGATAAGGAGCTCATCCAAGATAATGGATATCACCACCCAATCATAAATTTCCTGCTCTCGGATGGGATATTATCAGAAAGATATAACAGAAATCCCCCCACCCCCATCTTTTTATGACTCACATTACTCCGGGGAAGAAGAAAGAAACAAAGGTGACTCTCAGCCCGGGAGTATTCCACCCTTAGATATTTACCTATTTGTTCCCCTCCAGATGATTAAATATATATTCATCATGACTATGTTAATTTAAATGTATACTCATCATATTTATTAAGTTTCCTATGTATTTTGTAAAGGGATGAGAGTAGTCAGAAAGTAAAAAAGAGGAAATCCAAGAATTAATATATATATATATATATACACTCCTCAAAAGTGAAATTGCAACACCAAGAAATAATGCACGTAGCGTCATGCAAATTTCAGGAGGGATAGTAGTGAGATGGATATGCAAATGATTAAAAAAACAGACTAATAAAATCATTATAAAGCAATTTATTCAATATCTAATGTGGCCACCTCGGGCAGCTATACAGGCCTCAATCCGGCGAGCATGCTATCAATGACTCCATTGATGGTTGCCTGAGGTAACCTTTGCTAAGCCACATTCACTGCTGTGCGCAGATCATAGATGGTTTGCGCCATTGGTCCTCTGTTCATGCCACGTCCAATAAGATCCCATAGGTTTTCTATGGGATTCAGATCTGGAGAGGCTGCCGGCCAGGGAAGGATGTCAAATCCAGTCAGGCTGTTAAGAGTTCGCCGTGCGACATGCGGCCTGGCATTGTCTTGCTGGAATACCGTGTTGGGTGCGCCCTGCAACAAGGGCAGAACAACGGGATACACAACTTGTGTGACGTAGCGGTCCGCTGTCAAACTGCCGTGAATGTGTACCAGGGGCGTTCTGCGATCAAACATTATGCCACCCCAAACCATGATGCCCGGTGTAGGACCGTTGTGACGCTCGGCGTAATGGGCTGGTTCGTAGCGTTCTCCGGGTCGCCGCCATACCCGTCGACGGCCGTCATTTCTCCACAGACAGAAACGAGATTCATCCGTGAACAATACCCGATGCCATTGGATGGTCCAGGTACGATGACGATGACACCACGCCAGGCGTCTAGCCCTGTGTAAAGCGGTCAACGGTACCCCTGTTGCTGGTACCCGTGCACGTAACTGTACTTCATGCAATCTGTTGCGTATGGTTTGGGTGGACACAGATCCACCTGCTCCTGAAGGCAACCGGCTTCGGATGGCACGTGCCATGGAGAAAGGGTCTCGAATAGTCAACTGGCGAATACGCCGGTCTGTGAGCTCTGACGTGCACCTGTGCGCACCACTTCCTCTTCGGCGTGCACGTAGACCTTCCTGAATCCATCGTGTGACACAACGTTGGATGGTACTCACGTTGTGCCCAACACGAATTGCTATTGCGCGCAGCGACAAACCAAGTTCATGGAGTTCGATAATACGATCACGTTTCCCGGTCGTTAACTGATGGTATTGAGCTCGCCGACGTCTCAGAGGCATTTTCTACGCTTTTTCGAAAGTCGCAAATGCTACGCAAAACCTCAGATGCCGTTTATGAGAAGGGAAAGTTGCTAGCCTTTATAGCCCGAATATGCGTACCACGTGATCAGATGCGTGAAAAAATTTAATCATTTGCATATCCATCTCACTACTATCGCTCCTGAAATTTGCATGACGCTACGTGCATTATTTCTTGGTGTTGCAATTTCACTTTTGAGGAGTGTATATATATACAAAAATTTGACAAAAAAAATTTTTTAAACTTGCAAACCATGTGATTATAAATCCCGATATGAGGCTTTTAAATCACGTGAATATGAAACTCTACATCGAATTTAAAAAAATGCGAAAATACAAATCATGATGCGTAATTTTCAGATCACGTAAATACGAATCACGATGCATAATTTTTAAACCGCAAAAACGAATCACGACATTGGCTTTTAAGCTGGCGTGAATAAAAATTGCTACATAGGGTTTTAAAAGCGGGTAAGTACAAATCGCGATATTGGATTTTTAAATCTTGCAAACAAGAATCGCAATGTATGATCTTTAAATCGCCCGAATAAGAATCGCAACGTTTCACTTTTAAATCAGGTAAATACGAAAATCGATGTTTGATAATAAAATCGCGATTTTGAAAATGCATAGAAACAAAACGCGAAATTCGATTTTTAAATCTCGTAAATAAGAATCATAATGTACAATATTTAAATAGTGTAAATAAGAATCGCAATGCGCAACTTTTAAATCAGGTAAATACGAAAATCGATGATTGATCGGGACTTGGGCTTTCTAAAAGGCTTGTTTGTATTGTTTTCGTTCAGACATAATAAAAAAAATTTATAAGATTAATTGGATGAGCAAATAAATATTTTCACCACAAATCCACCTCCATTTTTTTTTTGTTTTTGCGTTTGCTTTCACGCCAGAAAACAGGAAGCAGCGACGTCTGAGTTACGAAAATACCAGCTATCCGTCGGACGGATGAAAATCTTATTTTCTGTGCGTGAAATCGGTGAAAATAGCTAAAATAAGTAAAAATTTGGACGGGTTAACAGCTAGGACGTAGTTTGAATTTTCTGTTTTTCTTTGAAAATCGTAAATAAATTTAATTATTTTATTTTAACGGCTGAATTTCAAAAAAAAGCGGGATATTCATTAAAAAAAAAAAAAAAAAAAAAAAAAAAAAAAAAAAAACCGAAACTTTTAGAGAATAAGAGTTTTTGATAAAAAGGCTGAAATTCGAGAGACAAAAGCGAAACAAGCGGAAA